AACACAGCCTTCATGTCATTTTCTCAGTTATTGCTTTAAAACGTTCACATTCTACTCTTAGAAAGATTCACCTGTACCCCTATAAGGTAAACCTCATACTTTTTTTCTTTATCTCTCTTAGTTATTTTTCTATAGCACTAAATATTCTTTGAAAAACCTGACATTCTGTAGCTCTGTATAATATTCATTTGTATGCCATATAGTCCTATCCTGTACAGTTTGTTTTCAGATTTGTTGTTTTGCTTTTTTTGCTTTTAAACATGAAAAATTGTATTATGTCTAAATTCTTGTGTGTATGCAACACTGTGCTCTTGAGAATACTGAGAAGAGTGATTACTAAGTCAAAATAAACATCATTAATGCTCTTGGTACATTGCATTCATTTTATTATTTAGTGATGATTATGCCAATCTTGCAAATGTCTAAAATTTATTGGCACTAGTATTTTTTCATTAAGTTGTACTAGGATTACCGAATGAATATGGTCCAATAAGGAGCCTAGGTAAAAAGGAGAAGATCTGAGATGAGTAAAGTGTTTAAGGCTTGGCACTGGTAGCTCAGTGGTTAGGGTGCCAGCCACATACATCAGGACTGGTGGGTTCAGACCCGGCCCAGGCCTGCTAAACAACAATGACAACAAGAACAAAATAGCTGGGCACTATGGCAGACACCTGTAGTCCTAGCTACTTGGGAGGCTGAGGCAAGAGAATCAGTTAAGCCCGAGAGTTTGAGGTTGCTATGAGCTGTGATGCCACAGCACTCTACTGAGGGTGACATAGTGGGACTCTGTCTCAAAAAAAAAAAAAAAAAGAAAAGAAAAAGAAAGTTTTCTAGGAGTGTCTTTATTTTTCTTTTAATTTTTTTATGCTCTTTGTTAAGTAGAGAGGATGGAGAGACAGAGTTAGATTATGACTTGCCCAAAATGTTTTGCACAGATTGAATCAGAACTAGATTCTACCTGATAATTATTAGTGTGGGTCCAATGTTTGTATATGCTGAAATAAATTTCTCAAACTTTTTTCTTTCTTCTTTTACATAAGACTCTTAAGTATAAACTCAAATAAAATATATATTTAGATTATGGCAGAAAATCTACCTGCGGAAATAAAAGAGTTTCTAAACTGTGTTTACTTTGGTTTTCAGTGATTAGAGACTTCCAAGAATATGTAGAGCCAGGAGAAGATTTCCCAGCTTCTCCACAGAGAAGAAATACCACATCACAGGAAGACAAAGATGACAGTGTAGTTTTACCTCTGGGTGCGGATACACTTACACATAACTTGGGCATTCCAGTACTAGTAGTTTGCACAAAGGTTAGTTTGCTTCTTAGATATTCTGCTACTGATGGAAGAACACTGTTTTGTTTTCCAGGTTTTTTGAAATTAACACATTAGTTTTTCTAGATAATTTTTGTTAACAAATAGAAATAAAGTTTAAAATATCAAATGATATTCACATGTTGCTTTTGTGATCTTAATCATAGTTTGCATTGAAAGAAAATGTTATTTCAAGTACTCTTATTTGTGGTTGAATTTCATCATCATATCAATTTAAACTTAATTGTACTACCAGTTTAGTAGAAATAATCACAGGTGAAATGATAGTTTATGAACTTTTACAAAATATTTTTCAACATTAAATTTTGACATTAATTTCCTAATTCAGATTATGTATTTAAAATTACAGTTTTTAAGCACCTATCAGCATTCATTACATAAAGTTGACATACAGTTATCAAGGTTTTCTAAGGCTGGGTGTGGTGGCTGATGCCTGTAATCCTAGCACTCTGGGAGGCCAAGGCAGGTGGATTGCCCTGAGCTCCTAGGTTCGAGACCAGCCTGAGTACAAGTGAGACCCTGTTTCTAAAAGTAGCCGGGTGTTGGCTTGGCGCCACCTGAGCTGGCAAGTTCGAATCCAGCCTAGGCCCTCCAGATAACAATTACGGCTGCAACCAAAAAATAGCCAGGTGTTTGGTGGGTGCCTATAGTCCCAGCTACTTGGGAGGTGGAGGCAGGAGAATCACTTGGGCCCAGGAGTTGGAGGTTGCTGTGAGCTTGATGCCATAGCACTCTACCCAGGGCGATAGCTTGAGGCTCGGTCTCAAAAAAAAAAAATAGCCGGGTGTTGTTGTAGATGCCTATAGTCCCATCTACTCAGGAGGATGAGGCAAGAGAATTGCTTGAGCCCAAGAGTTGGAGGTTGCTGTGAGCTATGATGCTACGGCACTCTGCTGAGGGTGACAAAATGAGACTCTGTCTCAAAAAGAGAAAAAAAAGGATTTCTTATTTATTAAAGAGGTTCTGATAGGATTGCTATTATCAAAATTCTGTTAACTTAGTTCTTTCACTGTATACATTTTTTCATTGTATGCATTTTATAATAAAATGAAATTTCCTTTAAAAATAATTGATAGATCAAGTTCTTCTCCCTACCTTGTCCTAAGTAATATTTTTTATTGTTGTTAAGTCATGGAATAGTTAGAAAATGTCAGAACATACATTTTTTTGAAACCTAAAATTGCTAATTTTTTGAAATATACAGTAGAACCTCCAGAGCTGACCACCTCCTTAAGTGGAACTAAGTTTCATAAACTAGTCGTGCACCACATGTATGCATCAATACAGTAGTCCTCCTTCCTTATGTTGACCACCTCCATGTGTTGACTATTTTGTTGCAGTCCCTTGGGTGGTCAATTTATATAGAAAGTCTACTATGTAGAATTTTTACATATTGTAAAGGATGGTATTAAGAATTTTAGAATCATTAGAATAAAATTGATAAAAAAAAATCTAAAACCTAGTTTAGGTTTTACTTTAAATGCTACACAAATTATTAATAACAAAGGAATGGAACAACAACGTTGAAAATAATTAAGTTGAAGCATGCCATCTACTTTCCAAATGGTGATTCTGCTATAGTTAAGTATTAAAACTTTTCTGTAAAACAATATTTTAAAAGCTCACACTAGAATCCTGTGTGCAGTTTGTTTTGTTTGGCAAAGAGCTGTTTATTGGTAGATGTTTCCCTATACTACAACTTGCCTCATAAAAAGTAGCCTTAATTTCTAAAGGAAAAATATGAAGTTTAAAGAGTCCTGAATCAGTATCAAATGAGTCATAGATTCATAAAATTTTCAAGCCAGGCAGATGGTCTACAGTATTTCATAAAATCTAATACACCATTAGATATACTTTAGTTTATGAGCTTCTAAAATGTGTAGGGGGATGAGAGAATATATGTCTCCAAATGGAAGAAGTCTGATGGTTCAACTTCCTCCCTATAAAGACGCTGGAAATGGAGATTTAGGAAGATTAAGTTTCTTGTCTTAAGTGCAGATCCCCTGGTTTCAGTTAAAATCTCTTTACTAAACTATACACCACCAAAAGTGCTATGAAATCAATAGTATAGTAATTACAAGTAATTACAATATTTGAAATATTATTGTTATTCTGTAAAATGAGCAAACGGGTGCTCATCATAACTATACAAGGATCTTCTGGTCTATGATATATATGTGTGTAGCAAAAAAAAAAAAAATTGACATACTAGATTTTACCCCAAATTAATAACAGATATAATGATTATTCTTATATTTTACACCCCTAATTTGTAGCAATTTTGGTGAAATTATTTGGATGTCACAATACTTAAACGTGCCTTATTTGTATTATCCTTAACATTCTCCTGTAGCAAGCAGAATTCAGAATTGTTTATTGATTGTACAGTGGCATTTGGGAAATCACCTGTAATTCCCTTATTTTGTGATTGGTGAGATTGTGTATAGTTAGAGTGAATAAAAGCACCAGAAAAGAAGTGAAGATCAGTTGGGAGAAGTAGAGACTCCCTGGACATATGGGAAGTGTTTTATAAAACTAGAATACATTTTAGATCTTTGTTCTAGAACATAAATAGTTGAGTAAACAAGTACGAATACTTAGGATAAACTTGGCTTATTCTATTTCTCTTTGTGCTAAAACTTTCCCTTTGGTGTTTTGATCAGATCAAATATAATGTAGAAGTCACTGCTTTTTAAAGAAATTAAAATAATTCATTATTTTAAGTCTCTGAGTGGTTGATAGTGAGTCCTTCTGCTTAGTCACCATATGCAGGTAGTAGTTTTTTTGATGTTCATCCAAATTGAACTGTTTAAATTATGTTATTTTTTATTCTTTTTAAGTTAATGTTGTATTATTTTAACTCAACAGTGTGATGCCATTAGTGTATTGGAGAAAGAACATGATTACAGAGATGAACATTTTGATTTTATTCAGTCACATATCCGGAAGTTTTGTTTACAGTGTATCCTTTTAATACGTTTATTGATGCAATGTACCTTAACCTGTTTTTACTTGTTTTTAAAAGTTAAAATAAATTGATGGGCTTAATTCTGTAAACATTTTTCCTTCTGCTTCTGGTTGGAAATTGTGTAAACATTTTTCTGTGCCTCTGGTTGCAAATTTCGCTTTAATTCACAAATCATTTGTATCTGGATATTTTGAGATAAAAAGCAAGTATTGAAATATATAACATTGATTTGCCGTGTTGAAAGTGTTGTGCTTAAGAGAAATAATTAGTGATTGTATGTGGGAAATTCTGGTAAGTTGGCATGTATGTATCTGATTAATAAACTATTCATATATTGGTGGTAAGTGGTAGGGCAAGATAAACCTAAGTCTTATGTGTTTATTTTCATTTCCAATTTGTTTAGTATGTTATCATTTTTCTGCTTATAGCTTAACACAGAGGTCTCAAAATCTAGCTGTGCTAGATTGGTGAGGCTGGAGAATCTGTATTTTAAAAAGCTATCTTGGTTGGGCGGCACTTGTGGCTCAAAGGAGTAGGGTTGCCGGCCCTATATGCTGGAGGTGGCGGGTTCAAACCCAGCCTCGGCCAAAAACTGAAAAAAAAAAAAAAAATGGCTATCTTGGTTATTTTAATGATCACAGGATTGGGAAACCTGCCATAGGAAGTCAGAATTAGGTGAGACAATGAGTAATATTTACAACCAAAAGAGGGAGAAAATGAAGATGATAAGTGAATACTTTAAAAAGAATTTATAGTTGTGAACTTAGTCTCACTTTACACTAAGGAGAGCTGTCTTCTTTGATCAAATACTTGGCAGTTGCATTCTCTCTGGCTTTTGAGTCTGAAAGTAATGAAATGATATTAAGAGTAGATAGTAGTAAATAGTACACACATGCTTTTAGTGTCTGCAATTTACCATTCATTGTCTTTAATGGGGATTTAATTTAAAGACCACTTAACAAGAAGCATAGCTGAATAAATTTCCCTTTCCTTCCCTTTTTAAGTTCTTTCTCCTTTTCTTGTGCCTTTCTCTCCTCATGTCACCTAAGGGTTGAGTTTAAAGGGCTTTTGTCTACATAGTGTCTTTAAAAAGAAAACAAGAATGAGAGCCATTGAAGGACTTGTCTGTAGCCCTTTTTTTGTTATCTTCAAAAATTAGAAAATTTGAGAACAATTTTATTTTAGAGACGGTGTTGTCATGCTCTCAGTAGAGTGCTGTGGCGTCACAGCTCACAGCACAGCAACCTCCCACTCTTGGGCTTAGTCGCCCACTACAGGCACCCACCACCACGCTCAGCTATTTTTTGTTGCAGTTTGGCTGGGGCCAGGTTCGAACCCGCCACCCCCACTAATCCACAAGCACCACCCCGAGAACAGTTTCTTTAACCATTTGTTTAATGCTGTACTTTAATGTAAATATAGAGGTGTAATCAAGAAGAAAGCTATCCACTGAAATAGAGATCTTTAAAGCCAGTTGATTTTAAAAGAATACAAAACATGAGATGTTAGGTGATTATTGATGAGGTGACAGTTTTTAAGTCCAGGCACAGTGGTTTATGGCTGTAATCCCAGCACTTTGGGAGGCTGAGGCGGGTCCAGATCACTTAAGTCCTGAGTTTGAGAACATCCTGGGCTGGTATTCTAGTGAAATCCTGTCTCTACAAAAAATAAGAAAGATTAGCTAGGTGTGGTTGTGTGTGCCTTTAGTCCCAGCTGCTTAGGAAGATTGCTTGAGCCCAGGAATTTAAGGCTGCTGTGAGCTGTGACCACACAATTGCATTCTAGCCTAGGTGACAGCAAAGATCCCATTTCTGCAAAAATAATTTTTAAAAAAATTTTAATTGTAATACAGATTTTTCAGTTATAGAAATTAAATGAACATAAATTGGTTTTTATTGTGGAGAAGATCACTAATGCAGATTTCACACAATTAAACTTTTAAGATTGTTTCTACCAAGTTAAGTTCCATACCAAATTAAGTTATATTTAGCAATATCACTTTTAGGTTTATAAGCCTTGGGCCATGTCCTAGAAAATATGAGTATCAGTTAAGCAGTTAGACCAGACTCTGAGCATTTCCCTTTGGCATAAGTCACTGTGTCTTTTGGGGACACAGTGGTCACTGCTAGAGCATAGTCTTGAGTAGTGATCATAAAATTTCTTCTCATAGACACTTTGAACACATCATCTGTCAGTAGTCATATTGTCCCTTCTTCCCCAGGCCTCTTGCTCCTTTGATCTACCATGTTTTTTGAATAACAGGTGAAAGTTAAGAGCCTTGTCCAAGGTGGTATTTTAAGTTTTGGTCATGAAATCTTTTAATACTTTTGCTTCCTGATGGTAGCTACTGGCACACCTTCTCTCAATAATGGGTCTTTTGTTTCCTGTTCTCAAAAACCCTGAGCTTTTCTCTGAAGTCTTCTGAGCTTTGTCTCTGAAGTCTTAATTCCTGGGATTGGTTAAAAAAAAAA